AAGAGTGTTAGAACAAGAGTTGCTAACATATCATAAAAACCAATACTACTAATAATATATAATATAAAGTAGCTAGGTCTTTAAATAATTAGAGAAAGTATATATATGAATTGGATCATAAAGACCTTTGTTCAAGGATATTGATATTATTATTAGTATTAGTCCTTTGGCGCTTAACATTCCCAGAAGCTGATTCATCACCACCACTCTTCTCCATCACTGCCTTGAGTGCTTCTTGTATTGAGCTAATACAATATTGTTGTTGTTGCTGCTGCATGCTTTGCTCTCCATTGGTGTTTGAGTTATTATTATTATTATCATCATCACCAGTTATGACTAACACATTCTTCACACGTCCTCCAAGCGACGTGATTTCGGCTTTGAGGGTTCTCAGTCTCAAGGCTTTCAACGTTTTGATGAGGTCAGGTAAGAGATCTGACCTATCTTCACAGCACAGTGACGCTTTGATCACAAACTTTCCGTCCTCGTCTGCTGCATCCACAGTTAACTCGTCGGATTCTGTAGGAACTGGACTCGTTTCTGCTATCAGTGAGGTTTGGCGCTTCAGCTCCTTCACGTGCTGAATCACTTCTGCTAATAGTGAAGCTTTATCTGTCTACAGAAATGACTTAAGAATTGTCAAACTGAATTGTGATATATGCAAACAACATAATGCATGGCACAATATGCATGTATTTACATTCAATGGATGGATATTACTATAATCTGTATTAAATGGAAATGCATATTACGAAAGTAAAACTTCATGAGAACAGCACCAATCATATTTAAGAAGTTGCACTTGAGTTTTGTTTATTTATTTTTGTTGCGGGCTATTGAGTCTCATTCTTTGTTACAGTATCAAGAGAACTTTAAGGGTTTTAGTATTTTTTCTTTTTTGTTTTTATCAATATAGTTGAACGAATTTGGAGACATCAAATAAAAAAAAAAAAGGGAATTTCTTAATCCTGACATTATCAAAATCTTTAAATTTTCAAGGATATCATTTCTTTATTTGAACACTTCAGACTTCACGTTGTAAAAAATGTTAAAATGTGTGTTGTTGACAAGGAAAAATGCTTCAAACACTCATTAATTTACTTCAGTATAATGCATTCTTGATGCTACTATATAGAATTGTATTAAAGTCTTGCCAACTTTTTTATTTTATTTTATTTATGACACGAGGTTAGAACCTATAACATAATATTACTTAAACTCCCCATCATTAAGTCAATCTAGGGAGTTGTTACTGACCAATACTGTTATTATTTTTATTTAGAGTTAAAACTTCATCTCAGTAATTTATATAATCAAAATTTTCATTCAAAGATTGACACATCAATATTAATGTACCAAAAAAAAAATCAAGGTGAAACTTTAAAAGAATATTAAAAGTATTTAAAAAAAATTACTTACTACAAACACAAATATAATATAAGCAAAATATAAACAATGGACTAAAATATAAATAAATTTTAATTAGTTTTTATCTTATTTATTTTCAAAATATCTTTCATTTAATTATGACTTCATTTTTAATTTTGATGTCAAGTTTCAACGAAAAAATAATATAAAAAAGATTTTCTTTTAAATAAGATTAAAAAATTGAAAGAAGTTAACTACAGTAATTTTTTAATTAAAACAAATTAATTAGTTTTCCTTATAATTGAAATCAGAGAAAGTATATTTAAATTTAGTTCAAAATAAAAGATTTTATTGAAAAACACAGTTAAAATGTACTATATTAAAAATTAAAAATTATGATAAAGTCATTGGTATCATTTTTTTTATAATTTTTTTTATTTTAAATTTCTTAATCAATGTTTAAAAGACACTTGCTACTTCTCTTGTGATTAAAAACAAAACTTGGAAATTGTGCATTGTGTGAAAGTTTGAGGTAGGTAGGGGTATGATTATGGATTGGTAGTAGTGGGGGTATTTTGAACGGTGGAAGTGGCATGCAGCATGTGTAGATAGATAGATAAAATGAGATGAGATGAGATAGGTACACTACTATACTATAGAATAGTGCGTGGGTGCATGTGTGTGACTGAAAAGGGTGCTAGTTTGTCTCTCTAGCTTTATTTCTTTTTCATTATCGAGCTGAGTTTGACTGATCAATATTATCCGGCAAGAAATTTCCATGTGTAAGCTTTTCAGCTGCTCTTTGGTTCCTCTTTATCGTATCAACAAGCGACGTTAACGCTAATACCTTTCTTTCATCTTTAATAACTTTTTTCTACTTATAACCTCCTCGGAACTACCACACACATATATAAACAGTCAAACAAAATGTAAGGTTAAGAAAAAAAAGCAATGTGTAAATGTTAGCAGCTTGCATTCTTTTTAATACACCTTTTATTGTAAATTACTAAAATTAGTACATAATTATGTAAGTCTTGCATTTTGTTTAATAAATCTTAGTTTATGATTTTCAATCAAATTTAGACAATAGTAACAAAGTGTTACTTCAAAAGAAATGGGTTAGAAAAAATGGGTATATGTAGTAATGTAGTAAAAGAAACAAGAACTGACAAAAGGAAGGATAGAAAAAGAAAGAAACAGGACCGTTTGCATGCACCCCATTTTCTAATTAAGATTCTGGTTAGTTTACGTTGTACCAGACCAAACTAATGTTCAGAATCTTGGGCAGGACTTGCAACTTGCAAGTTTTCTGTTAATTCAAAAATCTCAATCAAAGAAAACACAAAATAAAAGTGTACCCTTTGAGCATGCTCCTATTATACACTCTCAAGACACATGTGCATGTTTGGCGTGATCTCATACGAGGTTTTGACAAATTTTGTTGTCTTTTTATTTAGTTAGATATGACATGATTAATCACAAAATCATAATATTTGAAATTTTGGGTCTGGATGGATTCAAGTGCATGTTTATATTTAAAATATGCTGGAGCAAACACGCACTTAAATAAGAAATTATATATGCTTACTTTGGTTGTGTTAGGCAACAAGCTGCGAAGCTTGGCAAGGTGGTTGTTGATTCTCTCTCTACGTCTTCTTTCAGCTTCACTGTGACTCTTTGATGCAGCAAGAGCCTTAGCCTCCATGATTTCTTGTGCAGTCATTTTTCCCAACTCGGCTTGGAGTCCAAAGGCGGCTGAACCGGTTTGAACCATGGGTCCAAGTGTGTCAGATATGATCCTCAGATGATGGTGATCAGAAGAGGGACCCTCGTATGCAAACTGAAGAGAAGGGACCCTTCTGCTGAAGAAGCTTGCATAGGGTGAAGGTGTGGGAGGGACAAGGAAAGTTTGGTCATGGTCCCGAACCGGGTTGGGGTTGAATGAGTGAACCGGGTTGGAGTTGAACGAGTGAACCGGAGGCATGGACCATGGTTGCAAGATTGGAGGAACTTGATCAGGGAACATTAACCCTCTTGAGCCTCCAAAGATGTCACTGTTTTGTTGCTGCTGGTGATGATGCATCTGTTGTTGTATGAGAAGTTGCTCTTGGAAGCTTTGAATGTTGTTGTTGATGGTGTTGGTGTTGGTGGTGTTATTGATTGGTTGAGAGGAACACTGGCCTTGATCTTCTAATTCCTTTTTCATCTCCCTCTATTCTGTGTAATCCAAATTGCAAAGCTTTATATGTATGTTTGTATATGATCATAGAGTGAGAAGAGAAGAAGGGAAATTTGAGGGTTCAAATGTCAGAAAGGTGAGGGTATTTTCTGTTTTGTCTGATATAAGAAAAAGGAGCAAGAGCTGAAAGGGAAAAGGGTATCGAGAAGAATATTTCATGCCTTGTTAACATTTGAAAAGTGAAACAGGCTTTGACAAGGAGAAATAAGAAGAAAACTAAAGTATATAAAAAGACACAAACCTTAATTCATTTGATGCAAGGTGGTCTCTTCTAGTTCTGTCTTGTAATTGTATCACATGCTGAGGATCAATCAGTTACTTTCTCTTGTTGGGGTGGGTGGTGAAAGAAAAAGGCCAAAGGGTTTTGAATCTCTAATTCCTTCTCTCTCTCAAAATCTCTTTCACTTGGTAGGTTTATATTTCTGCCACGAGGGTGTGTATGGTAATGACCCCTTTTATCCTTTGCCTTCAATAGACCCTTCCTTTTCCTTTATGCTTTGTTGGTGTCTTTTTGGACTTATTTTTGCCCTTCTACTCTCTGCACTCTGCACCCTTCAACCTCTAAAATATATAGAGCTTGTTTGAGTACTGCTACTCCCCTTTCCTTTCTTCTTACGGCATTAACTTTATCTATATCATTCCATGTAGCTTTCAGGGCTGTCTGTGGTGGAGTGGCATCTTTTTAACACAACATAAGAATAATGTCAATTTTATAAGCATAAAATCTATGGTATAATCTCATAAAGTAACACTATTTTTTGGTTGCTTGTGAATTTTGATTGGTTCAAAGTGTATAATTACACTAGCTCTGTGTGTGTGAGAGAGAAAGATGGGGATGGGAAACACAAGCAAGAACAGAGTGAACACAACACAGATTGTCGACCGACCAAGAACCAAAAAGGCTGAATACTATCATCATGATATAAAAGCTTAGCTTAACCTTTTCTTTCTTTTTCCATTTTTTTAATTTTCATGTTAGTACCTCATTTTAATACACTAAACATTTATATATTCTTATTATTTCATTTTTCCTTTTTTGGGGGGTCATTTTTAGACTTTGCACTTTCCCTTTTGGCGTTTCATTCTTCCTCGGTCAAGCCCCCACGTTCTTCCATACTCTTGGCTATGTATGTGACTATGTCCACGCCACCCTTTTCTGCTTCCCCAAGACCATGTAATCATTGTGTCTTGGAACACACTCCACCCCTCTCTCTACCCTTCTTCTCTCTCCTTGCTCCTCCTAATAAGTGTCTTGGTTTCAGTTGAACTAGGTGTGTAGTGTGTATGTTAGTTTATGTGTATATTTATTATATTCGTGGTTCTCATTACCCTATCCTTTTCGGGGGTATATAGGAAACTTGTGCATATACATGATCTATATTTTTCTAGTAGTGGAGGTGGTCCACGAGCAAAGGACAACACAGGAACATAAAATAAAGACTAGCTAATTAATAATGCTTGAATTTTCTTTTACCTTTTGATGTGGAAAATTGCAATAGGAGAGACAAAGTGAGTAGTGGATCAGCATTACCTTCATTTTACGTGGGCATGCAGTAATGTCTGTCTTCAACATCCATCGATAACCCAAACTTCAAGTTTAATCTAAATTGAGTTTAGGATCAGTGTTTTGGCTCGCCATTATAATTATAGCAAGTCATCATTTTGCACATGAAGTCATGAACTAACATGAAATTATTCGTGTTGTTTTGACTCGCATTCTTGACCCTTCAATTTTCTCAATTTGATAATCATCAACTTGCGAACCATTCACCACAATGCAGTACCTTTTCTAGTAATTTTTCCTTCACGAGAAAACCAACAAAGAAAATCGTTATTTTAGATATATGGAAAATTGATGCATACTTTTCTATATTTGTTCTTATGTGCAAAAGGTAGATGTGGGATATATATCAAATCTGATGCAAAATGCATATTCTCTTAGAATAAGCATTAAAAAATGTGCAGGTCCATAACCATACATGACTTTAATTTCTTGGCAACTTCCTGTCTTGGTATTTTAATTTATCCGTGTTTATACCACAATGACGTTGATGACTCAAAGTTAGGAGCTAGTACAATTAATGTGGATTTAATTTTATTTATTAGAAAGAGCCAAAAGATAATCTAAAATTGTGATGAAAAGAATATTTATAAAAAAATGTCACTTTGGGATGGTTGGTAAGATATGTCCACTAAAATGTTAGAACTTGAAAAGGCCGCACAACACAAGGAAATAATAGATGTTTCCAATTACTTTTGCCAAGTGGCACAGTTTTCAAAGCTCCTCAATATCTATCAATATAGCTATATGGGAGTTCTCCATATAAGTTCTTTCACCTTGTTTGGATCTACTAAACCTTTAGCGTGTATATGTCAAAGTGTATCTTACATTTTTAAAGAGATAAATAAGAGGTGATAAGTTCATACATGAGGATGGGTCTTATGAGTTTATTATAGTGTAAATCCATCAATTTGACTCTTGTACTAATAATGATTATAGGATTTGAAAATATTTATATTTTTAGTTACATTAAATTATTTTATTTATATTATTTAAATGAGGTTTATCCCAAATATAATTGTTTTACTATTATATTTTTAAGTGTTATGTCAGTTTTCAAATTCTATCTGTTTTCGTTATTCTTATTCATTGTTGATTAAATCTTTCAAAATAAAATATTTTATATTCTAATAGTTATTTTTTATCAATATATTCAGATTTTATCCTTTTTTTTTCATCAGCTATAGGTTTCTCTCAAACTCCTCATGCTTATATATATATATAGAGACTCTATCTCACTATTTTACACACTTTTCATACTTGAAATCTCTTTTTTTTTTTTCTTTTCTCTTGGTTGTTCTGCTTGCTTTAAACTCTTGTCAATTGTGTTCCTCAACTTCACTAAGACGATCCTATTGTATACTGCAGATGAGTTTTTAAGGTCAATATCATCACATGCCTGGAGAAATTTTACTAATTTATCTGTTTAGTGTTTTAGGTTGTTCACTTGTGCATCCGCCATTTTAACAATAGTAGTGTTATATACAACATTATAGGGTGGTAGTCTATTTCATAATTAGGTTGTTTAGAATTTAAATTCTAATCTTAAATATAAAAATAAGGAGAATATTTATCTTGTGTGTTTATGATTTTTGACAGAGATTAGTCACTATTTTTAACAATAAATACTTTGTAATACTATGATTGAAAAAGGACAAGACTTAAGTATATTTCTTTAGGTGCAATTACTACTATTTTTCAATCAAAATTAAAGTTTTATCTCAATAATATGTATAAATGTATATAAATACATATTATCTAAATAAAACTTTAATTTTAATTAAATAACTACGTAAATTATACTAAAAAAAAGAAATGTACCCAAATTTTATAATTAAAAAGAAAGTGTAATGGAGTTATTGCTTTATTTTATATTTTTGCTATTGTTATTGTTTGTGACACCTTCTCTTGATCTCGTCCTACGTACACTACTCACTGTTTGCCTTATGGTGTGGCAGTAGCTGTTGTTTGCTGCTCCCTGGTTGGTCCAAAAGGGGTTCACATTTGTGTTTTGAGTTGGTATCTTTTAGGAGTTGAACATGGCAAAAAAAGGAAGCAGGGTAATTTATTAGCCCTGGCTTTAAAGGCAAGTCTTATAGCTCTTCACCGGCAAACTCTGCAACCTAATTACACGGTTCCCATAAGCACCTTGGTCATCAAAAGTAAAAGTAAAAACCTAAATCATTATGCCCTACACTAGACACGTTACGTTTCCCTATTCAACGTTATAGGGTTGGTGCATGGCTTTAGATATTCAGATGGAAAGACAATTTATTTAATTCAGAGATTATTGTTTGTGTATAGTTAATGTAAGGTCTAGCAGTGGGATTCGAATAATATATATCCTAAATTTAAATGTTAGTTTCCAATTTTAATGAATAAAAATAAAGTACAAAATTATATTATCAATTTATTATAAAATATGTTGTTATTTAAGTAATTATTATAAACATATATATTTTTCCTTTATATAATACTATTTTCGTTCTTATATATAAGAAATAAATATTTAGATCATATATTACAAGAAATATTACATACAGTGACATATAAAAAGTGTTACTATAAATATAATATATATAAGTTTATATCTATTTAATATATAATTACACATAGTTTTAATGTTGATTGAATGAAATTTAATAATATATTTTGTGTTTCATTATGACTTATTCTCACCGTTTTTAATAATAATCAACATATATTGTATTTATTATGTGGGTAAAAATAGTTTTTAATGACATGTATTGTATCATTATAGAATATGTGTCACTATATAACAATTTTTTTATAGTAATAATTATAAGACACATGAATCTAATTTTAAATGTATTAATTGATAATTATTTTTTATATCCTTAATTAATTTATTATGAGTTTATTAACGAGTCTTCTACTCATTTTTCATGAAAGTGAATGCAGTTATTAAGTAACCAATTGGATGAGTAATGTTAAATGAAAATATTATCAATTGACTTTTGAGTACGTAGTATCATTAAATATAACTACCACCTATCATTATTTAATTTGATACAACTAATTAATTTCATTGATTTTAATGAATTAAATATTTTTCATATATATATATATATATATATATATAATATGACTAGAGACAGTAATTTATAATTAAATATTAGTAGTTACAATCTTTATATTATCAATATATAAACTTTTATTTTCTTTGTAAAGTGAAGTTGTAACTTAAAATTTATATAAGCTATTCATACCTTATGGACGTTCGTAGTTTTTAGTAAAGATTAGTTAATATTTTTAACGGTGAATACTTTTAATTAATATTATGGTTAAAAAAGTATAATTATAATATAATGATATATAAACTATTTACTCATTAGAAAAATAGAATATGTTCTAATTGATCAACAGGGACGAATCTATGAATTTAATAAAGGGGTCCAATTTTTTTCTACCTATATAATTATTTGAATATTTAATTTCAAGTAATGTACTATACTTGTTTCTAATTTATATATGCATAAATTATTTAATTGTCACAATTAAAATTAATCCATGTATTAAGAAGGTAGGTTATTTTAGTAAGGTAGTACTACTACTATAACAATGTACATTGTTGTTAATTATTATTGGTTTTACCAATAATTTGTTGTGGTGATTTTGGGGTAAATTGTTAAGAAACTTTGTGAATTAAGGAATTCTCTTGAGTTTTAAGTATTTAGGAGTTTCTTTGGATAGAGGCCTAATTTGACCTTAGAAGAATATATAAGATTTCTTTTAAAAATTGAGCTTTATAAGTTTATTTTTTAAAAAAAATTTAGAGAGATAATAGAGAAAGAAATTTAAAATTATGATATTCTTCTCTTTTCTATTTCCCCGCGGGAGTTGTAAAAGTTCATAGTTGGCTGAGAACCATCTTTTTCTTTCTTTTGTTTCTTTGATTCTTGAGATTTAAAGGTAAAGGGAGTTAGTTTGTTTGAGTGCATGTTTGGATTTTATTTTGAAACGCGGATTATGCATTCTCTTTCCACGTCCAATGTTATATTTACGTAGAAGCAAGATTTTTTTGATTCAAGTAAACGTGAATTTTCACGTTACAAATGGAATGTAAACATGCACCGATTATATTGTGATGCATGA